AACTGTGGAATTTTGGTAAAGTTAACTGCTAGAGGTCGGCATGAAGTGCCTGATCTAAGTAAAATGTCTCTAAATCCCTGTGTGAAAACTGTCCAGGTGAATTGTTGACTGGTAGAGGAATCAGGGTCAGTCCAGGTAAAGGCAAAGAGGGGTTGGGGGAGCTCATGGATGGGGATGGTAAAAAAGGCATCTTTGGGATCTAGAACTGGGTAATTGGAGGTACTGGAAGGAATGGTAGGCAGGAAGGTATAGGGTTTAGGGACTCCTGGGTGAATAGATTGAACAATTTCATTGATGGCCTATAAGTCTTGCACTAACTGATATGAACCATTAGGTTTTTTTACAGAAAGGATGGGAGTATTGTAGGGGGAATTAGTAGGTTTGAGAATGCCGGCTGACAAGAGTTTGAGGATGAGTGGTTTAATGTCCCTGAGGGCCGCTGTGGGGATCGGGGATCATTTAAGAGAAGGATATGAATGTTGGGGTTGGAGGGCAATGAGAATGGGTGAAGAATGATGGAGCCTATAAAAGGAAGAGAGGTGCCCCACACTATGGGGTCTATGGTTGGATTGAGAGAATGGAGGGATCGTAGGGGAGGGGTTAGAGAGGAGTAGGATGGGTAGTGAGAGGTGAGAGCCAGTGGGAATAATCAGGGTGGCTTGTCATTTTGAGAAACTATCTCTGCCTAGTAGGGGAATGCTGCATGAAGGCATGACAAGGAATGAATGTGAAAAAGAGTGTCTGGAAAGTGAGCACAAGGATGGGGTAGTGTGAGGGCATAGCAAATTGCTATTAGTACCCACCACTGAGATCTCTGTTTGTTGTAAAGGACCTTTGTAGGAGGGTAGGGTGGAGTAACTGCCCCAATATCAATGAGAAAAGAGATTGGCTTACCTTCCACTATTAGAGTTATCCAGAGTTCAGTCTTAGTGATCATCCAAGGGGCCTCTGCACCTCCAGGACCTGTCAATCTTTGGCAGTCAAGCTCAAGAGGTTGGGGAATTCAGCCAGGTCCTGGGAGTGACTGTGGACCAGATTCTTAGAAGGACCTGGGCTGTCAGACTTCCAGTGAGGACCTCTGCAGGCTGGACATGGCTTGTGTGTGTGTTGGGGGGGGGAGTGGATTTGGCCACTCTCTGGCCCAGTGGACAGTTTTTCACACTTAAAGCACAGTATTGGGGGTGGTTTTCTTTTCCTGGACTGTCCAGAGGAGTTTTGGAAAAGTAGCTGGGGCTCATCTAATGGAGGAAGCCAGTAACTGGAGCTCTGAGAGGTGCTACCGCTTTGAGGCCTCTTCTCAGTTATTGAAGGCCAGGTCGACAAGATCTCACTGGGGGCTCTGAGAACCCAGGGGGGGATTTTTGGAGTTTTTCCCAGATATAGGGTACAGATTGGGAGATAAAATGCATGTTAATAATGAGCCTGCCCTCGTTGCTCTCTGGCAATAGAGCGGTATAGTGGTGGAGCGCTTCGTTAGGATGGGCTAAAAACTGGGCAGGATTTTCATCCTGTTTCTGGGTTATTTCTTTTAGTTTGTCATAATTGATGGCCTTATGGACTGCTTTTTTAAGTCCCTCTAAGAGACACTAGACCATGTGGTTACAGAGGTGGACTCCAGGAGCATCAGTTTGGTAATCCAACTGGGGTCTTCCCAGGGGACTGCCCTAGCACCTTCTGGCAGGGTTTGGTCTGTTCTTCATAGATCTTCGGCATGGACCTGGGCCTCGGTCCAGACCTGTTCCCTCTCCTCCAAAGTTAGGGTAGAGGTGAGGATGACCTAAATCATGCCAGCTCTTATCGTATGATTGGGTTAGATATCTGAATTCTTAGGTGTGTTTTGTGAGATCTGTGGAGAATGAACCTAGTTTCTGACTTATGTGGGACAGGTCTGAGAGAGAAAGGGAGACATGAACCCATCTTCCCTTCCTGCACCTTCTTGGGGGGTACAGAGGTTGTGGTGGTCCTGAAGTGGAAGGTCCAAAGGCATGGTCGGATCTAGTATGAGGTAGAGAAGTTGAATCTACCATCTTTCCTTGCCAGCCCTCAGGCAGTGGAAGGAAAGGGGTGGGGGGTGATGGGGAGGGGAGAGATGGGGTGGAATTCTGTGGGTAGGGAGGAGGATGGGGGGTTGTCTTCTGGGTTGAAGGAAGATAGAGAAGAGTCGGGGGCTCAGGGGGTTTGAGGAGGGCTGGTTTGGCCAGGGCAAGGAAAATTTGAGAAGGTTCACAAGATGAACACAAAGAAGGAATGTTTTGATGGAGGAAGAAGGCCTGGATGTAAGGGACTTCTGACCATTTGCCCAACTCCAACAGTAATTGTCAAGGTCAATGAGGATTGAAAGGTCAAAGGTGCCATTTTCAGGCCATTGTGAACCATTGTCTAGTTTGTACATAGGCCAAGCGGTATTACCAAAAGACGAGGCTTTTAGGTTTGAGGTCAGGATAAAGGTATAGAGGCTTGAGGTGAGTTAAGAGGCAGCTTAAAGGTGAAGAAGGGGAAATCCATAACTAAGTGGTCCCCATATCAGAAACTGAAGGTAGAAAATAGATGAAGTTAAAGTGAGGATGAAAAGAGAACTCCAGCGACGCATGTGGCTCAGTGGGTAGGGCACCAGCCCCATATACTGAAGGTGGAGGGTTCGAACCCGGCCCTGGCCAAACTGTGACAAAAAATATTCAGGTGTTGTGGTGGGCGCCTGTAGTCCCAGCTACTTGGGAGGCTGAAGCAAGAGAATCGCTAAGCCCAGGAGTTGGAGGTTGCTGTGAGCTGTGATGCCACAGCACTGCACTGAGGGTGATAAAGTGAGACTTTGCGTCAAAAAAAAAAAAGAAAAGAAAAGAAAAGAAAAGAGAACTTAGGAGGAGGAGGTGACTGAGGATGAGCTGGGGAAGTTACCAGGCATCCTTCACACACCTTTAACCAGCCCGTGGTCCAGGCCCAGGGTGGGGCATCCTCACTCACTAGGCACTGGGCAGGTGACGTCTGACTGCTGGGGTTAGTTTGTGACTGGCACCGGATTTAGGAAGCACAGACTATCAGAATTTTTGGCCCAGAAATGAAGGAAGAGAGAAAGAGGAGTTGTAGAGGAGAAAGGAAAGAGAAGTTGAAAGGTTCAGAGAGGCGCTAAAAGAATTGGTGAAAAAAATAAAAGAGGAGATTTTAAGACTTAGAGAGGGGCCATAGAGGAATGCTCACCTCACTAATAAATGGATGGATTCCGGGCAGGGGTTGGAGTCCTCCTGTTTCACTTTATCTGGTTGGAACAAGAGTCCATCTAGTTGGGAATGGATCTGACTATATCTCAACCTCCATGGGGGCTTCTCCCCATCTCAGGTTTTCAGCACCAAAAATGAGAGGTTTGGCAGCACCTGTAGCTCAGTGGGTAAGGTGCCGGCCATACACACACAGGCTGGCGGGTTTGAACCTGACTGGGCCAGCTAAAAAACAATGACAACTGCAACAAAAAAATAGCTGGGCATTGTGGCAGGCGCTTGTAGTCTCCGCTACTTGGGAAGCTGAGGCAAGAGAATCGCTTGAGCTCAGCAGTTTGAGGTTGCTGTGATGCCATAGCACGTTACCCAGGCCGACAGCTTGAGACTCTGTCTCAAAAAAAAAAAAAGTTATTCCCAGACGTAAACAGAAGGAAACAGAGTCCGGGTTCTGTGTGGGGGACGTGGCCTTTATTCACTCGTGGGCTGAGTTCGGCAAGGAAGTCAGCATGTGGGTGAAGGTAGAGCGGGAATATTGAGGAGATTGGGGGTTTGTGAACTCATTCCTTTCTGGGCAGTACTTACGCAGTACTTTCTGTGTTCCTACAATCAGTTCTATTTGGGGTGGGTCCCTGTGCTCAACTCTATCAAGGACCATCATTGTCTCCAAGAAAGTCCTGTGAAGGGACATTTTCCTGCCCCAGCCCAACAGCAGTAGGTCCCTAACCAGCCAGGGAGGACTTGACTACTGTGCCTTAATGAGGTATCAGGCTGTGGGCCAGGCCCTGGGTCCCGGAGGAAGTAGCGGATGAAAAAAAGGGAACACAGGGGGACTCAGGACCCAGGTTGCAGAGCAGAAGGGGATTGTTTGGGTCCGCTGATCTCTGGTACACACCAAAGAGCGCTGTTGGGGGACCTGCCCATAGGAGCAGAAAGCCAGGAGACTATGAAGCCTAAGAGTCTCCCGACCGCCTGTTGGCCCAGAGCTCTCCAGGCTTCCGCTCCCCAGGGGGCGCCCAGTCCCTGGAGCAGGAGGAAGCAGAGGGGACGCCAAGCTTCTGGAAAGGAGGCCATGGGCACGTGGGCAGGGACGCTACTGCTGGTGCTTTTGCTGGTGCAGGGGGCCCTCGGGAAGCCGGGTGAGCTCAGGGGTGCTACTGCGGACTGGGTGAATGCGGGAGGTGAGCGGGAGTAGCAAGGGGAGCTCACTTTCTTGCCTCCACCCAGAGTCACAGGAGGCATCCCTACCGTGAGGTAAGGAAGCAGGAGCACGTCTCCCTGCGCAGGGCACCTGGGTCAGGGCGCAGCAGGCACCTTACCTATTCCACTCCGTGCCACAGATCCAAGAACTCTTTAGTGTTTGAAGTAACTGATGGGGGCGGCGCCCGTAGCTCAGTGGGTAGGACGCCGGCCACATACACGGCAACTGCAACAACAACAATAAAATATCCGGGCACTGTGGCGGGCGCAGTGCCTATAGTCCCAGCTACTTGGGAGGCGGGGGCAAAAGAATCGCTTAAGCCCAAGAGTTTGAGGTTGCTGTGAGCTGTGACGCTACAGCACTCTACCCAGAGCGACATAGTGAGACTCTGTCTCAAAAAAAAAAAAAAAAAAAAAAAAAAGTAACTGATGGGCCCTGGGTGGAGGGGCGGGCCCTGTGGACCATGTGGGTAAATCCCCAGTGACTTTCCTGCACATAACAAGATCCCAGGAGGCATCTGGAGGCCTCAGGTGGGCTCACAGATCCCGGGGAGCCCCTGCATGCACCCTGAGGGGAGGGGGGCCTGCGTCATGGCTGAGCCCCAGGTCGGTCTGACCATCCCAGGGTCCTGTGGCCGACGGACCATCCTGTCACGTGTGGTGGGTGGACATGACTCCGAGCTTGGGCGCTGGCCATGGCAAGGGAGCCTGCGTTACTGGGGCTTCCACGTTTGTGGAGTGAGCCTGCTCAACCACCGGTGGGTGCTCACAGCTGCGCACTGCTTTGCTAGGTGAGTCTGGGGTCAGGTTGGGATAGTTAGGGGGTTCTGGGGACCTTGGTCCCAAGTTTGCCCAAGCACCACGGTGCACAAGGTGCAGGTCACTATCTCCTGAGGCCCAGGCTGGGCTGCTACCAGTGATATGCACATGGGTTTCCTTTGGTGACCATGTAGGAAATCCTGTTCAGGTTCTTCCAGGAAGTTCTTTGAGAATATTTCTACACTAGTTCTATGATCATTTGGAGGGGGGGAGGGCTATTCTTTTTTTTTTTTCTTACTTAGCCTAAAGGATATCACCATCTTTGCTGCCCACTCTCATTCCTCCTCTGGGGTGTGCAGATGAGGGCCACTTGCTAGGCACTGTGCCTTCTGTGGCCCAGTCTCCCAGGGAAGGTGTATTGGCTCCACCCTGCTGGGCACCCACATTACCCCAGTGCATCTGCTCCTTTTTCCTTGGGGCTGCATCAGGGTCCTGCTGGAGGACTTGGCTCAGTTCAAGTATCCGTAGAAGGCTCTATGAGTTGGCAAGACCCCATCTTCCTGTTCCACCCTCCCTCTCCCACAGTCTCAGATTCTGGGACTTTGGTTGTGGCCTCTTGGGCTGTCCCGTGTCTATAGGTGCTATTGTGCCCAGAAGGACTTGCTAATGGCATCCAGGATGAGCAAGTAGCAACCCCACAGTCTCACCTCCTGTGTTGGGTCCCCCAGGTGGCCAACCCTCCATTCAGGGGCCCCTGACTGTTCTCTCCTCCCTGCCAGGTCTGATAACCCCATTTCATGGTCGGTCCAGTTTGGCGAGCTGACTTCCAGGCCATCTATGTGGAATCTGGAGGCATACTACAATCGTTACCAGGTGCAAAATATTTATCTGAGCCCCAAGTACCTGGGGTCACCACCCAATGACATCGCCATGGTGAGGTTATTCTCAGACATCAGCTACAGTACTCATGTCAGGCCCATCTGTCTCCCGGCCTCCACATCCGAATTCCAGAACCGAACGAACTGCTGGGTGACTGGCTGGGGGAATATTGAAGAGAAGCAAGGTGAGGCTGAGGTTAGGCGGGTCTGGATGGGCCTACCCCTACCCTCATGCACCTCTCCCCATGACTCAGGCACAGCAGCCCCTCATTGTCCTGGGGCACAATGGGAGCACCTCGTGCTGGTCTGCTCAGCCTCCTCTCCTCATCTGCTTTTCTGCTCTCACTCCCACTCCTGCAAGGACAGGAACCAAACACTCAATTCTCTCTCCCTCCAAGGCTAGGGGGGCCAGAAGGAGAGTTTGGGAGGGAGGCCTGCTTGGTTCAGGCTGCAAGGGTGCTGGGAGCCTGGTGATGGAAGCTTCAGATACTTCCACATGGTGGTCATACACTCCCCAGGTGTTAGCTTCCCACTCTGGCCCCTTCCTGCCTGGGGCACCTCCCTGAGATCTGGCTCTCTCTCTGGAGTCTGAACCCATTTCTCTGTCCTTAAAATTTCCACCCCATGCTCCTGCTCCCTTAACTCAACACTAGAACCCCCCTCCCAGGCCTCACCTACTCATCCCTCAACACAGATCCCCTGAATGTGCTGAGCGCAGCACCCAGAGAGGTACCCTGGGGCCTCCAGCCCTCCAGCATGGGCATGTTCCTTTGCCAGAATGTCCCTTCCCATGGCTCACTGGCCTGGCCCATGGCTGCATCAACCTGTGACAGTAGTACACATGTGGGCTTGACACAGTTCTAGACTTGGGCAGCCAGGAGTGAGCAAGACAAGAGTTGTGTTCCTCCTAGAGCTTACCTAGGGATGAAGCTGGGAACGTTTTCAGACCCATTTTATAGATGAGAAAACTGAGGGAGTCATGGGAATTTCCCCAAACCCCAAAAGTAGTAAATAGAAGAAAAGGCAGGGCCCATTGGCTCAGACAGGGTAAGGGATGTCTCCAAGGTCACACACCTGGATTTGGCAGGGAGAACAGAGAACTCAACACCAGATCTGCCTCCCTCTAAAGGACGGGCTCTTTCCCTCTCTCAGAAGGAACCTCTGCTGCACAGGATGAGCAGGTGTGGGTGAAGGGGCCCAGAGATTTCCCCTGAAGTCCCAGGCCTGGCCTCATTCTCCCTGGAGCCCCCTGCCTGGTGTGAACTTCTGCTCTGCCCTGTGCTAGCTGGGAGACCCTGGGCAAGGCACTTCATGTAACTGGGCCAGGGTCCTCATTTGGAAAATAAGGTCATACTAGTTCTGTTGTCATAGGGTAGCTCTGGGGTTGTTAAATCCTAAGGGCTTGGAAGAGTCCTGAGCACACAGGTAGTGCAGCCTGCGCGTCAGCTCCTCACTATTATTGTTGCCCTCTGCAGGAGAAGGTGCTGATGGGGACCCAGGCTTAGAAATTGTGTAGACCAGGGTTCTCAACCTGTGGGTCATGACCACAGGAAGTGTATTAAAGGGCTGTGGCATTAGGAAGGTTGAGAACCACTGGTGTAGACAAGTGGGTTCCCATCAGGCTGTGACACTTCCCTGGTGCTTAGCTGGGAGGTTAGAGGGAATCTTCCCCTGACTCTGTCCTTATCTGGCAGTGAATCTTGATGGCTGCTACATGCAGGGGTGCTGAAGGGGTCCTAAGAGTAGATGGCTCAGGCCCTGAAAGTGGCCCAATGCTACTGAGGTGAGAGAGCCCAATGGACGGCTCCACCTGGCCTGGCACCAGCTGCTGCAGCCAAGCTGAGTTCACACAAACCATCTCAGTCTCAGCCCCTCCCTCTTCCTGTTTTAGCTGAGAAAAACGTCTCCCCTGGCTCAGGCAGGACTATCACCCCATCCTCCAGACAGGGAAACTGAGGCCCAGGGAGCAGCTCTAACAGCCTGTCCATCCACTGGATCTTTCTGTGATACTGTTGAGCACCTGTGATGTGCTGGGCTAGAACTGGGAGTCTAAGAGTAACATGCCAGGCATAGTGGGTACCCCAAGGACAGCCCCCCCCCCGCCAGCCCAGGCCAATCTTCCCTACAGGGGTGGCTCATGGTGTTGTCTTTCTCTGTCCTCCCATCCCCGATAGCTCTGCCCTCTCCCTACACCCTTCAGGAAGTGGAGGTTGCCGTCATAAATTCCACCATGTGTCACCACCTGTTCCGAAAACGTGCTTTCCGTCTGAACATCTTTGGAGACATGGTTTGCGCTGGTGATCCCCAAGGCGGCAAGGATTCCTGCTTTGTAAGTATCCCTCCCACCTTTCTCAGTCCCAGGCCTGAGAGCAACCAGTGTCCCTTACCTTTTTTGATCTGTACACCAACCCTGGGAGGTAGAAGCTATCTGTCTACTTTGCAGATGTAGATACTGAGGCTCAGTCACTGCCAGGGGAGGAATAGGATTTGCGCCCAGGCCCCTAGCCCCTCCTGCTCTCCTGGCCTCTCTGCTGCTTGCTGCCCCTGCCCCAGGCTGGGCTCACTCAAGTTGTTTTCCAGGGTGACTCAGGTGGGCCCTTGGTATGCAAAAAGAATGGACTGTGGTATCAGATTGGAATCGTGAGCTGGGGAGAGGGCTGTGGCCGGCCCAACCGACCTGGTGTCTACACTAATATCACCCACCACTTCAGATGGATCCAGAAGCTGATGAGTGGCATGCCCAGGCCAGACCCCTCCTGGCCACTACTTCTCACTCTGCTCTGGGCAGGTGTGACCATCCCAAGCCCATGAGTTACTGAGTCAGCTGCTGAGCTGTGCTCTAGTCCTCTTTGTCCTGTGTGCTAATAAACTCATTTGAACTGATGCCTGGTAGAGCATTCTTCCAGCCTTGGGTCTCCTTGACAACCTCCTTCCAGTCACTCATGTTCAACCCTTGAGCTGCTCGAACTCTCAGATCTTTGCCCACCCATCTGTGTTACCCAACATTTCATTTCAGACAACAGAGCTCTCTTCAGGAAGATGATTGATGGAAACACAGTGTTTGCTTCGGGGTATCAAGGGCTAGGAAGGCTGGGGTGGGGGTGCCAAAGAGGAAACATTCCAAATGCCCCTATCCCAGGTCTTTGCAAGGCTGACCAAGACCAGTCACTTGGGTTAAGGGGATTTATTTGGGAGGGGATCCCAGGGAGCACAGGTGAAGAAGTAGGGAAACCAAGGCAGTGGAGAAAGAAATTCTGATTAGTTTGTACAAGCTACAATCCTGCTGGGGCCTTAGTACTTGGCCACTGAGGATAAAGGCACTAGTAGTAGGTATTGCTCTCTTAACACCCCCCAACCCATGTTGAAGATTTGTGACTGTGGGACCAGCCCAAACTTGGCCTACTTGGTTGACAACCAAACATTAAATTTCCTTTTAGGTATAACAGAGCCCAAAACTGCAAGTTATGTAACCCAAGCACATACAATAGAAAAAAACTTTGACCTCTAAAACACCCAGAATTAATGATTCCTCCCCTTGGGGAAACCCAGAAGACCGAGACATGCCTAGAATCTAACTCCTGGGACTCCCAGAAATGAGGGGTCCACCAGCCCAAGGCATCCAGGGACAAATATGCCTCAATATAAATGGTCAAATTTGAAACCTTCCTATCAGTCTCTGCCAAGCCAACATTCCTGAAACTTCTCCCTTACCCTGCAAACCTTTAATCTTGCCCTAGACCCCCGATTTGGGTGGCAGTTGAGCCTGCCTCCTCTCTCTTTCCCTGCAGATCCCATGATAAAGTCTTTCTTTTCCCAAAGGCTGGTGCCGTGATATTGGTGTCTGTGCATATCAAGCAGAGGGCCCATTTGCTTGATAAGAAATCCTGGTGCTTGGCTCGGCGCCTATAGCTCAACCGGCTAAGGCGCCAGCCACGTACACCTAAGGTGGCGGGTTCGAATCCC